AAAAAAAAGTAATTTTAACTTTTTAATACAAGTTTGAAAAACCATTTTGAAATTCATTGTTCGGCCCACCCTAGAAGAAGAAATTAAAGGGGTGTGTGACATTACTGTTTGAAATTAATGATAAATATTTATATGTTTATTACTAATTTTAACCTATTTTACTTATCATTCTTTTTATTTTACACGATTATATCAAATATTATAAAGATCTATAAAAACATATTTTTTTCATAATTAAAATTTCATATTTCCTTATTAATAAGAAGGAGAGATGTGTTTTAAGAATAAAATAATTACTAATAGAAGTAAAATTAAGAAAAAAAATTTTAATATTACGATTAAAAATTAAAACTAACAAACAAATTGAATATCCGTCTTTGAAAAAGTATAACAAATAATGAATCAGAACTAGTACTCTTAAAAGGCGTTTCTCTGCTCCCCCAGTGAAAAGAAAAAGAAAAACAAACCTTACCAGAGTGTGACAACAATAACCAGGGAAGACACGTTGGGCCGGTAGGGCTGGCCATGGTACGGTATGATAAGTGTATCGTATTTAAATGATGGTAATCGTTTTAAGTGGTAATAAAAAAAATTATTATTTTTATATCAATTAATAATTTTTTGGTAATGATTGCCAACCATTTTAAATGATAATAAAACTTACTTTACCAATACCATATCATATTACCATATTTAAACTTATTTTTTTCATTATTAATTAATTTAAATTATTTAAAATTCAATCTTAAAAGCTCAATATTATCTTAAAAACTTATTTTCTCTATATCATTCTTCATTATTTTGAAGCATACAAATATATAATTATACAAAACATACACACTTAAAAAAAAAAAAAAAGAGAACTAGCAATAATTGAAAATTTTATAGAAAAAAAAAAGTTTTGAATAAGTGGTAAATTTGGTAATCACATGGTAAAAATGGTAATAACCTCCAATACCAATACCGTATCACAAGTTTAAATAGTATTGTTATATTATTATTTAAATTTATCATATAATAATTTACCATATCATTTCTGATAATAATAAAATGATACAATGAAAATTGTGACATTTATGATATAAGTACCCAATCCTACGTTGGGTTGCACAAAGTTGACTTTCACTGTGGTAGTAATTAATCTTCGGCAACTTTGGAATTACTCGTAGATTCTAGACCCTTCAGTTGCGTCTTTCTCAAGCATGTCCCCAAGGAGTGGCCTTCTTGTTTATTTCTGTTCCTTGTTATTTGTCATTAGCTAAACCCTTCGTCATTTTAGAGGTTAAAATTTGTTTTTAATTATCTGTGGTTTTAAGAATTCTATAGAACATTAATTTTTTTCTTCCAAATTTACCCTTCCCACGTACCAGTAATAAATACAAACACCTGAAGCCATTTGGTGAAAATCCTTGGCAAACCCTCCAACTTACTGATTATGAGAGTATCAGCCCCCAACTTATAATATAAAAGTTTTAACCTTTTATTTTACTGATTATGAGAGTATCAATCCTTTAACATACAATATGAAAGTTTTATTCTCTCATCTTTTCAGCCTAAATGAAAAATCCTAAAATGAATGGCGACATCATGTGCTCGTTAAATTTTATTACCCATTGTCATGTGAGCACCAACATGACAATTCTTTGCCATCATAATTGTCACTGTGTTAGGAACATTGTCCTCTTTTTTTATTAGATTTGATAAAATTGGATCCAATTTAAAAATCTGACTTAATTTATTTGCTATGAGTAAGGTCATTAATTTAGAATTAAATACAATTCAAATTAAAATTATCCAAACCCAACTAAGTTGGGTTAGAGTTAACTTGATTCAATTCGAAGTAATTTGATTAAATTTAATTAATTTTTTTAAAATTAAAATTTTGATTAATTATACTTTTAATATTAATTTTTAAGTATAAAATAAAATTAAATACTATAAAATAATTATTATTTATTAAATTATTAGTGTTAATATTAATTTAAAAGAATTTTTTGATTAAATAATTAATTAATATTAAATTTTTAAAAGAAAAATAGATAAAATATTAAAAAAATTTAATTTCAATTTCAATTTTTTTAAAAGTTGGGTTTTCTTGATCTAATTTGAGATTTGTATAGGTGAGTTATGGATCAACTCTTTTAACTTAAAATCTAAAATGACCAAACTTAAAATATGAGGTAACCAAATTCAAACTTAGTAGATTTGACTTGTTTGTCATATTTTACTTTTATTATCCACGATGATAATCCATGATGGTAAGAAATTGCTACGTTGGCTTTAACATGGCAATAAGTGATGGAATTTTAACGAGCACATGACACTGTCATCTATTTTGGGTTTTTTCATTTAAATGAAGAAAATGAGGGATTAAAACTTTCATATATTATAAGTTGAGAAATTGATACTTTCATAATGAGTAAGGTAAGGTGGAGAGCTGGCCAAGGATTTTGGCCAAGCCAAATGAGCTAAAATTTCTGTCTCTTTCAAAAATCATGTCCATCCGACGTACCCAGACGCCCTGAAACAGATGGGTTTTCTATCATTGTATCTTCTTAATTTATACTAAGGCAAAAACCCTATTTGCATCGAGTATATTATTATTATTATTATTATTTTGTGATCAATACTTTTAAAAGTTTTACTCATAGTAAACACCATTTATAATTTAAAATCTTTAAAAAATTTAAAAATTAATGATCAAAACTTTTATTTGTATTTTGATTTTGTTAATAAATTTTGTAGATTTCAAATTATAAAAAGTGTTGTTCAAAAGTAAAAATTATAAAAAATATTTACCGTAACAAAAAATAATATGTATAATACAAATAGGATTCCGTCTTGTACTAAACGAGATTTGTATATTTTTTATGTGATTTTTTTGGTTTAATTTGGAATTTTGTCCCTGTAATTGTACGATGGAGTTAAAAAAAAAAATTGGCAGGTGAGAAATGGTAAAGCATTAAGAAATTAATTAGGTTCCGAAAGAAAAGAAAAATTGTACTTTAAATGCATTTGTCCTGAAATTAAGAGTAATTAATTGATTTCTTTAATCTTGAGGTGAAATTAGCCAAAATAACTAATAATATGAAGAGTAATGATCTGCGAGACGAATTTGCGGGACGATTTTGGAGGACGACAAGTGAAAACAAGGTCAAATTGATAATTGTTGTTGGTACTGCTTCACTTGTCGTCCCCCAAAGTCATCTTGCAAATTCGTCCCATAGATCATTACTCTAATATGAAACAAGGGAGTACTTAGCAAAGAATTTGCCTTTTTGTTTTGTTGAATTATATTTATGGATTTTTCAAATTGTGTTTGGGTATAGTATATTTATTATATATTTTCAATATTAATTTATATAAAATATATAAAAATTGATATTAATTTTAACACTATTGTCACTTTGACAAATAATTTATTGTAAACGAAAAGAATCAATATATTAAAATATGAACTTTTAATGTGGCTTTAAAGTAGAAGTTACTATGTTTATTGGTTTAAAAGAAGCAGAAAGAATGAGATGGGAGGGAAGTCAAATGCAGGGATATGACATTCATTTCCCTCCCTCCCCCTCCCCTCTCCTCTCTTTCTCTCCTATTTTTTGAAAAAATAAAGTAAATGACACATTCTCTCACATTTTTTACTAATTAAATAGAGAATTTTCATTTATTTCTTCTTTTTAAACCATATGTATTATAAGAGTGCATTAATTATATATTTCTCTCAATAATTATTATAAAAATAATAATAATTGATTTCAATTTTATCAATCATTTAATTAAAATTATATATGTATTATTAATATTAAAAATAAAATCAATTTTGATATTTTTTAATATAAATGAATGAAAATATATAATTAATGCACCTTACAACAGGTGTAATTAAAAGATTTGTATAGTCAATGGATTTACTCAGATAGCTTGCTAAGGGAATATGGACGGCTGGCTAGCTAGATGAACTCAACAAAACATGTAATTAATTGGGTTTGAATTGAAGTCATTTTATTAAATATTCATTACACTCATTTTGTCAATTCAAAAAAGGCTATTCAAAATTGGTTTTTTTAACCTTTGGTTTTAGGTACAGGTAAAGGTGAAACAAAATGTTTCCTTTTTTTTTATTTATAATTATTTTATATAAAAAATATATATTATTGATTTTGGTTAATTATTTAATTAATTAAAATTGTGACAATATTATTAAAATAAAAATTAATTTATAATGTTTATATAAATTGATTAAAAAAATATTTATTTTATTTTTAACATGTGACCAAAAATCACTAGTTAAAAAAACTAAGAAAATTTAAAGTAACTGCTACAATAGAGGAATAGAGGAATTAATGAGAGTAATAAAAGTCTCTACTTTTTAGCAATAGTCTCCTTCTATAAATACCCAAGAACTAATCTTGAATTTCCCCACACAAGCAGTACTACCTTCTCAAGTTTCTAGTAATTGAAGGTCTTCAAAATTTGTTTTCTGCATAATGGCACCTTCCACCAAGTTCGTCTTAGCTTTCCTTTTTGTCTCCTTGTTCTCCAACATTAATATTAGAATGGCATCTGGCATCGACTCCAATGCTGCTGGTGGTATGGATGGTGGTGCTGGTGGTAGTGCTCAAGTTGGAAATGAACCTGGTTCTAATGGCGGTGTTGGCGGTCAAGGCGGTGTTCGCGTTCCAGTTGGTGGACCTCCATTTCCGTTGCCTCGTAAAGTTGGTGGCAGTGGCTGTACTGGTGGTCAATTAGGTGCGTACCATCTTAAAAATACTGCTGGCGAAGTTCAAGATGTTACCATTACAGGCGGTGCCGGTGGTCAAGGTGGTGTGTCTCCATCTGGAATTCCTAGTGAAGGTGGTGCCATTGGCGGTACTTGTGCTCAAGATGGTGAAGGTGTCGGTGCTAATGGCGGTGCTAATGGCGATGCTAATGGCGATGCTAATGGCGGTGCTAATGGCGGTCCTAATGGGATTGGTTCTGTTCCTTGAAATCTCACAATCTCAACTACTTTTACATTATAAAATGTGAAGAAACTTTAGGAAAAGGAACATCCTTATGTCAGTGTCCCAAATAAATAAAACAATAAATAATTGTCCTGGCACAGTACTGCGATATGTTTACGTTCTTGTACCTTTCTTCGATAATACTAAATAAAAATCAATAATGTATATCTTTTAATATGCTTTAATGTATGTGTATATATATATATATGGACAAACACACATACGTCTAAAGAAGTTTTATATAAGAAGTTAACCATTTGTTAAGAAATTTTATATAAGAATCTAGTCTTTTAAACTTAACTTTAAGTTGAAATTTTTTAATTTAATGAATTTTAATTCAACTAAATCTTTATTTTGTCAGGTTTTGATATGTTTATCTTACCAATTTTGAACAAAGTACTAAAAGTATATTTGGTTTGAGAAAATGGATGAGGAAAGAAGAGAAGGAATAAATTTTTTTACTAATCAAATTATAACATTTAAAAATATTATAATTTGATAGGTTAAAATACTTATTCCACTCCACTCTTTCCTTGCCTTCGCTCAAACCAATATATGTATGTCAAACAAACCACTAAGGCGCACAAACTCACTCATATATTTGTGAAGCGAACACATTTCTATTTTTTAATTTACAATTAAAAAAAATAAACGTCGGGTAAGTTGAGTTGATAAGTGCAGTAACTCATTTTAGATATTGGGTATCCGATCGGGTTTGATGATATGATAAGACCTAACATGTACCCTATTTGGGTTCCATCTCTGTTTCCAGCTAATGATATTGTCCTTTGCTTCCAATTGATAGGATAAACGTATCCTTATTTCAAAACAGTTAAAGTTCTCAGTCTCAATTCCATATTTGATGAAAGTTTGCACCCTTATTTTAGGGTTTTGCCAAACAAAAAAAAGATGAAAATTTTATTCATCAGATATATAAATCTCCTCACAACATTAATTGAATGGACCACTGATAGTTTATTTCCCGCGAGAGGTCTTGAGCTTCAGCCTACGGTTGTAGCCTTGTAGGCGTGAAGATGGGGTGAGTATATAGGAGAGAGTTGTCTTGCCATCTCATTCTTGCAAATACCAAACTTCAATATTTTGTGCTTGACCTACATACATACATAATACTTTGTCTTCTATGCTTAGACCATCTTAATTTTCACACGATCCAAGCTAGATTTCCCGTCAAGGATGCTACTCTGCTGAGCCTCCAAGTAGTCCTTATATTTCATTGCAATATATGCAGGTGGATTGTTCTGATTGTCCAATAATTTTGGCGCTGGCCTAACAATTGCATTCAATGCTGGTCCTAGTGGCATTGCTATTGATATCCTTGGAGCTCTATTGTTCACAACCGCACGATGTAGAATGCTCTTGTACTTCCCATTGCTCAAAATCTTACAAAAAAAGGCCACAATCAATAAGTCATGTATATAAGCAAAAAAGTGTTGTGCAGTCCAAGTTAGAAAACATCATATTGGTACATGAGATAGCTTTGTCCAAGAGTAATTTTTGCAACTCTAAAGATATAGAACATTGGGAAGAAAAAAGAAGATAAATGCACCTCAATGTGGTCACCAGTGTTAACCAGAAAGGAGTTGGGAATGACATTGACATTGATCCACCTCCCTTTGTGTTGCACTTGAAGACCCCCAATTTCATTTTGTATTAGGATGGTCAGGAGACCGTGATCAGAGTGAGGGAGCATGCCCATTGCAAGTTCTGGCTGTGGACATGGTGGGTAGAAGTTGGCTACCAGAATTTGTAAACCCTTTTCCAAATTTAGGGCCTTGTCTATGTAATTATCTTCTAACCCCAGGCTTGCAGATATTCCCCTTAGCAATTCTCTTGTTAATTTTAGAACTTGCTCGCTGTAGGCTAGTGTAGTGTCACTGCATCAGCGACGTTCCAACGAAAAATATAATGTTAGCCAAGATATTAGTACATGGTTTGCCCTCAATATCAACCCCTCAACATTCTTGGAACAGATAAAAAATTGCTCCTTATACCATGCGATCATAGACTTAACCCACGTGGAATTAGTTCCTTAACACTTATATTAACAAGTAGTATTAGGTAGTAAAGGAGGTACCTAGGCCCTAATACCATATTAATACTTCGAGTCTAAATCCAATTTATTAATACATGTAGAAAACTCGTCATATTTTTAGTTTAGTATTTTACAAATCAGATTGTAAAACACTGTTAAACACTAGTGGATGGAGGGACCTTCTCCTAATAGTAAGTGGATTTCTTAATCTAATGATTAGTGTTTGTATAGTTCAGACCACAATTTGGAAAAATACATTTATATATATATATATATATATATTTCTAACTCTATTTCGAAAATCCCAAACTTTTAACCCAAATTGCATTATTTTCTTTAAAATGGCTAATGATACAACATTCAAATTATAGCATTGGTCATTATGTTCTCTATTCATTACTAGAATTTCAAATTTCTGGACCACTGGGACTTTGTTTTTTAAGGTAAAAATATACCTGAATCCGGGTGGGTTGTTGAGTGAGTGAAATTCAGGATGCACAAAAACCTTGAGAAAGTCCCTCCAGCATAAGACTTTATCCACTGAAATATTGAAGCTGGTACCATATCTTATTGGGTCTAAAACATGCTTTTCTTGAAATTCTTGCTTCTCCTCCTCCGGTAGGTCGAAAAATTCTTTAACTGCATCTATTATTTCCTTCGTCATGACCTCTGACACTCCATGATTGATTACCTGAGGCAAAATTCCAAGCAAATTAATCAAGAAAAAGGTAAACATGTTTGGCAAAAAGATAAGGGTACTGTTAAGTATGAGGATATACCATGAAGAAGCCCCACTCTTGACATGCTTTGCCAAGCTCCTGGATCATTTTAGAGCGTTGATTGGGGTCACTGGATGTCAGAAGGGAGAAATCAATGGTGGGGATAGTCTCTTCTGATTCAGAAGATGCTTCATCCTGGGGGTTTGAGGGAAAGGTGTAGACAGGAGGGATGGAAGCGAGACCACGAGATTCAGCCAGCTTTTTAACGCTCGTCATTTTGGGTGGATTAGTAATGGATGCTGTTGATGTTTTAGGAAAGAAGGGTGCCGTTGCAGCCATGGGAGGAGAGACAGGGATTTCGTGCTATGTGCTGAGCAGATATGAGATAAAATGGGTTGTCTTTTTTTTTTTTTTTTTTGGCTGAAAGAGATAAAATTGGTTTGATTCTTCAGCTTCTGCGCATATCGTTCTCCTGGGGTAGGTAATGATAACAGAGTTTGATTTTTGAGAGTGCGATATTTTTTTCCATTTTGGCTCCGTTTGTCATGT